TCATGTGGGCCCAGTCTGCGAGTGCAATCTGTGGATTTTGTTGAAAATCATGAAGAGCAGAGCGAATCCATATGGGGGCAATCTGTGGATTTCGTTGAAAATCATGGAGAGCACAACGAATCCGTGTGTGGCGCAACCTGTGGCCTGAGTTCCATGAAAAAAAGGAACACAGAGAATCCATGTGGGACACAAAGTGCAGGCACAATGTGTGGATTTCTTTGAATAAACATGAAGAGCACAGCGAATCCGTTTTCAGCGAAATCGGGCCACAGATTGACACCACACGGATTCACTGTGCTCTTCATGATTTTCAACGAAATCCACGGATTACACCCACAGACTGCGCTCCACATGAATTCGCTATGCCCTTTAGATTTTGAGAGAAATCCACAGATTGCACGAACAGCGCATGTGAATTTTGTACCACACGTACTTGGGTACCGTTTGTGCTCCCAGAAGTCTAGCAGAAGCTCTCTCGCACGCATTCTGCAGATAGCGCAAATTCTCATATTGTGCCGAACATATAATACCGTAAAGTAGATTTGATTCGCCCACCCCACCCCACACCACACCACATCACCCGACCCCACCCCACCCCACACCACACCACTCCACACCACACCACATCACCCGACCCCACACCACACCACACCACACCACACCACCTGACCCATCCCACCCCACACCACATCACCCGACCCGACCCCACACCACACCACACCACTCTACCCCACACCACACCACATCACCCGACCCGACCCCACACCACACCACACCACACCACCTGACCCATCCCACCCCACACCACACCACACCACCCAACCCCATATAATATTAATAGGCTGCAAGCGTTCATTGTGCCATGTGTCCTGTGGAGTTGATGTAGTATATTTTTTGGCTTTGCTGGCAGCTTGCATAATGTGCTGGGTCCGTCGCATATCGTCTTTCAGTGTAACTCCAAGGTGCCTATGTTGGTGGGCCTGCAGCAGGAGAGTCTCGTGGAGTGTGATATGGATGCTGTGGTGGGGTCGGAAGGAAAGGACGACCGGTTACGTGGTGTTGACGAGGAGATACCAATCCTTCAACCATTGTCCTGCAAAGCGGCGCGTTGTAGGAACGTAGAAGATAAATCCCTTGTGTAATGCGTCGCAATGAGAGCCGTGTTATTTGCAAACTGACTGCATTTGGTGCGCAAGTCTGTACATGGTAGGGGGGGGGGGGGGGAGGTCGATTGTGTACACCAGGAACACAAGAGGCCCTAGGACAGAGCCCTGGCCAAAAGCGGAATGTATTAATTTTGGATTAGAATAACAATCGGCCAAGCCTCCCTTGTGGTAGGGAACATCTACCGTCCCCCGCGGTCCGACCCCGCAGAGTTCGTGATGGAACTGGAGAGAGCCATAAAGCTAGTTGAAAGACCCCAGGATGAGATACTTCTCCTTGGCGACTTCAACGCCAAGAACTGCTTGTGGCACCCCAGCGACACCACCGATGCCTTAGGTGAGGACCTGCATTGGCTGTGCGAGACTCGTGGCCTCACACAACACGTCTCCTTTGCCACCCACCTACGCCAACACACACCTAGATCGTGCCTGGACCTGGCCATCTCTAGCCTCAGCCGCCATAACATCACCATCACAAGCCTGCCCCCTATGGGTGCCTCTGATCATGTTGTCATACAAGGCAACATACGACCCCAGCAGCACACCACCCACAGAAACAATAATACAAATAATAATAAAAATGAGAGCAGTACTACACAGCAAAGCACCTCCAGCACATACTGGTTGTGGAGCGAGGAACGCATTGCGTCCCTGCGTGAAGCTCTTGCTACCTGCAATCTGCAGTACGATCCACATCCCACTGACCCTCAGCCAGTAACCTCATTCTGGAACTTCTGGAGAGACCAGATACTGAAACTAGCCGTGCACCACTGCCAAGTGACCAAAAGCAAGTCCCGCAAAAATTCTACGCCCACTCGTCCCTGGATGACGAAGGATCTCCTCAGCCAGATCAAAACAAAGCACAAACAGTTCCGCACCTACAAGGCGACCCAACTAGACTCAGATTGGAAACTGTACACAGCCCAGCGTAACCGAGTAACCGCTCTTTTGCGACAGGCTAAGTCCGACTTTGTCCAGCAAACAACGTCAACGGGTACAAACCTCCACCGTCTACTGAAGCACCTGAAAAAACCGCCTAAGCAAACAATTCCCACACTATCGACAGCCAACTCCACTGCAGCCACGGCTATGGAGAAAGCAACAGCTCTCAACAAGTTCTTTATCTCCCAAAGCCAACAGTCCATCGACAAGACCACCTGTACTACACCAGACATCAACACTACCCCTGACATCAGTCATACTCTAAATACAATCGCAGCAACAGTGGAAGAGGTCGAGAAGCTTCTATGCAGTCTAGACACTGGCAAGAGCCCAGGCTTTGACAACATCCCAACTCGGCTCCTGAAAGAAACTGCAAAGGAAATCTCCCCATCTCTCACTAGTCTCTACAATCTGTCCTTCAGAACCGGAGAAATACCACAGGATTGGAAAGACGCAACTATTACACCCATCCCCAAGTCGGGCAACCCCTCCCATCCTACCAACTACCGACCCATCTCCCTGCTCAGTATAATATCAAAAACACAAGAAAAAATAGTCCACTCTCGTCTGTACAATCACATAGCACCGCACTTACCCTCCAACCAATCCGGCTTCAGGAAACAAGACGGGACCGAACTGCAACTCGCACGGATCGTCCACCAGATATCCACAGCTAGGGATGCGGGGATGCATGTTGTAACGTGTTTCTTCGATCTCAGTAAAGCCTTTGATCGTGTATGGCATCAAGGCTTGCTGAAAAAGCTGAGCCACTATGGTGTCGACGGCAAGGCTCACAATTGGCTCGAAGCCTACTTGACAGGACGCAGACAGCGGGTGCAGGTTGAAGGCACAACATCCGCCTTCATACCAATACCAGCAGGAGTGCCCCAGGGCTCGGTCCTGGGACCACTTCTGTTCCTGGCGTACACCATTGACCTGCCCACTGCCTGTGAAAATGCTACAACCTCGTGTAGCCAGTTCGCGGACGACACCGCACTGATTGCCATTGCAGGGAGCTACATTGAGTGTGAGGCTGCGCTACAAAGAAGCGTCGATGCCGCAGCAGAATGGCTAGAGCGCTGGCACCTGCTAGTCAATAAAACGAAAACTGTCATCCTCCCGTTCTACCATGCTAACCGACCCCCACCACGACTACCCGAAATAAAACTTGGCCAAACCGTATTAGAAACAGTAACACAACATCGTCACCTCGGCATCATCTTTCAGCACGACCTAAGATGGTCAGCCCACCTTGACTTTGTGCTGAAGAAAGCCGTAAAATCTTTTAATATTCTCTTTAGGCTCAAATCAACTCTACACACTAAATCACTCTCTCTCATTTACAAAACGTATATCCTGCCTATAATTGAATATGCATGCATTGCTGTCACCCCGCTCTCAATCGCAGCTCTTGACCGTCTTGAGCGAATCCAGCGCAAGGCGGCCAGAATCTGCCTCCGTCTCCCCCTTTACACTCCTCTGGATCATTCAACACTGCTCCATCGGCTCAAATGGCCGACAATGTTCTCTCGCCGCAAAGTGAAGCTCACCCTTCTTGCTCACTCCATAAAATACCAATATGCCCCACAACACATACGCTTGCTCAACACCCCCGCTCAAGTTACTGCCCAGTACAGCCTTCGACACGCACGCACTTGGCACCTCCCACCCTCCAGAACCGATCGCTGTAAAGACTCCCCACTGTACAAGTCCCTAGAATACTACAATGCCCTCCCTGCTAGCATTCGTGACATCTCCTCCCGACCTGCTTTCAAACAAGAAATCTGCTCACTGCTGATTAACTCAATCTGCTCCTGCAGCGCTCACCCTCTCCCATACTTGTAAAGTTCAAAGTGATGTAAATCACTTTCCAACTGTTTAACCCACAATCTCACCTTCTCATCAATTTATCTCTTATTGGCGATGGTGCCATCGTGAGAATAAAGAATTCAAACAAACAAACTCCAGCTGGAATAGTTTCGCATGATGACAAAGCGGAACCAACCTTGACGCATTGTCGGCGGCGAGTCGGGTAGCTTGTGAGCCAGTTAAGGGCAATGCCACGGAAAACGAAGGTGCTCGAGTTTGGCCAGGAGCTCAGCATGCCAGACACGGTCAAAAACCTTTCACCAATCAAAGAAGCACGCCGACACTGCCTGACCGGCGTCTTGGCTGGCAAAGATGTCGTTAACTAGGTGGGAGAGCTGAAGTTCAGTGCTGTCTTTAGATCGAAATCTAGATTGGTCGGCCGGGAGGTGGGGCTCAATGTGGGTGTAGAAATGTTGGTGGATAATCCTCTCCTGAACTTTGCTGAGGAGCGAGATTATCCTGTAATTGGTGATCTCTGCAAGAGAGACTTTCTTGTGCTGAGAAATGTCATGTTTATTCATGATCATGACGCAGCTGATTCTACACTTTACCCTCCCAATTCTCCACTCACACCACATCTGCTGCATCCATACATGTAGCACTGATTACCACGAGTGCCACAGCTGTAATCTTGCACCATCAAACATCATGAATCTTTTATTGCATTGTATTGTTTTAGCCAATAGAATAATGAAAATAGAAGTGTGCAGTGTATGGTAAGGGTACAGTTTGTGCATAGTCAATTGAGGTTTTCAGATTTCTTTTGGTTATGCAATGATGGACACGCTCAAGCAGCACCGCCAATTTGAGCTGCACTTTTAGCACGAAGAGGGGCAGAGGGACAGAGTGAGATAATTCTGCTCTGTGATTTCAATGACGAGGAGAAGCCTCAGCAACGCTTCACCCCATATATTTGGAATTCCTCTGATCAAACGTTGGTTTTGCGATAGTCCTGTATACTGACTTTTAAGTACCTTTCTTCTAAAGCCAATTTAAAGTGAACAATTCTCATTCTTGTGATTTCAGTATCCTGTCAGCGATTAGAACACACTCTTGGTTATGATTACAATGCTTCATTCTCCACTGCCTCTGGAACTGTTCTGGGTATTTCATGTCGTGCCGGCTTTACTGAGGATGCTAGTACGAGTTCCATTGACACAATAACATGTCAAGATAATGGAATGTGGACACGTCTCCCGACTTGTACAGGTATGTATGTACGGTAATATACATGTTCTTTGTACCTCTGGAACACCGTCGGTTCTAGATTACCAACAAGTACCCCCCCCCCCCCCCACACACACACACACCATGCACACACACACCTCAGACCTGCCCATCGCGGAAGCGATGATAGCGAACAGCTATGTTAGACATAGCAACTTGCGCTGGGATTACACCATTCAACAGCCTGCAAGGATGATGAATTGACCGCCACTAATTTTAGCCTGGTATCCACCACACAGCTGATTGAAGTGGCTTTTTCTGGCCAGTGAATCCCTATTTTCATTTTTTTTCATTTTTCTACACACACACACGCCACACCACATACTCCGGCATACACTGGCTGTTGGTAACCACCCAGGAGAATGAAAGAAGCACACACACACACACACACACACACACACACACATCTCAGACCGCAGACCTGCCCATCGTGGAAGCGATGATAGCGAACCACACACTCTGGCAAGCATTAACCACCCAGGAGGATAAAAGACCTGTGTGACCATAATCGTTGGAAATCGAACCAGTAACCTCTCGATTAGAAATCGCTGCACATACCACTGCTCCATACGGGACACAGCACACACGCACCCACGCACGCACACACACGCATGCACGCACACACACATATATGCATACATACATACACACACATGCACGCGCACACACACGCACACACGCACGTTATCTACAACACACCTGGTCATGGTCCAGGTAAACACTGCCATTACGGTCACTTGTCTCCTTGCGGGGCCGACAACATGGAACGACGAGTGACGAGAACCGGAAAGTCGGGTCCGCTGAGACGTCAGTTACCACATTAAATTGGCACCATGAGAGAGCCATCTCCGGCAGCTATGGATCTGGAAGCCACGAATAGAGCGATCGCACCGACCACAGGCTCCACAGTGGGCCTTGCAACATAATGGCGAGCAGGAAACGCGGTCGCGGAGGAGTCGGGTGAGCAGCAATGCTGGACACCGCTGGTCGGCATGGAGCCTGAGATGATGTCATGGGGAGCGTCTGAGAGATGGGGCACTTGTGGACCGCCAAACCTCCGGCACTGCGTAACCAGCGCTTGCAGTCCGAATATTGTCGGCAACCTCCCTGTTCCGATACAGGTTTGCGGCGCTCACAGAGGCATTTATGATGATGCAAACCACTCCTGGAGGAGAGACGACCACACCCGGCGCAAGGTATCCGCTGAGGCTCACAAACAGGCTTGGGCTATAACACACACACACACACACACACACACACACACACACACACACACACGCGCCCACACATACGCACACACACACATTGAACGCTGGTGTCGTCTTATAGACATCATGGAATAATATTAGGCCCTGGCGGATAATGCCGGCAGAATTTCGAGCAGAATAAGGGTTATACCGTGCTTCACACAGCCGGACATGCACATACGCATGAATGAGGACGCACACGAATGACGCATGACGAGCACACACAGAATAATCTGGTTGAGTTAAATTGGATATGTGGAGTGCTGGATTCGAACAACTGGTGCAATGTCACGTGACTCGGCAAATGAGTCGCAACGTGAAAAGACTCTGCTGAGTCGCGAACAGGCAATGGCTCTGCAACTGAGTCGCAAGCAAGCAAACAGGGTAAACGAGTTGTGAGCGAACATCCGCACTCCCCAATGTATTATTTTTACTTGTATGTTTTTTTTTGTTTTTCTTTTTAGAATCGATTATGGCAAGTTACAGCGGATGCAAGTGCAGATCACAAAGGCTGCAGAGAATATAGCAATATGTTAACGTAGAGCAACAGCTATAGAGTGGGTGTTGGTGGAGAGGAAAAAGCTAGGAGTGAAACTGTGAAAGCCAGGCAAAAGCAGCGAACTCTCTTTCACAAAGGCAACACTCAAAGCAAGGCACGTGGGGAAAGGTTGGAGCAGAAGAAATACGAGGTGTGAGCTGCGACCTCTCTTGGCGCGATTTCGGAGCTGCGCTGTAGATTAGCGCCGTGAATCTGCTTGATTGATTAGTGTAATCATGCTGCCAGCTGGCAGGTGTTCATGCGGCGCTAACACGCTCTAGACACTGGCTAGTGCGCCATTATTTTAGAAAAGGAGCAGAATTTGGCATAAAAGTGCAGAAGAAGGAGCAGATGCTCACCAGAACCAGCTAAGAATTGCAGAGAGGGCTCCTGGCGCCTATTTGCGGCTCCATTGTGTTCACAAGCACGTGAACTCACTTAGACATAGTCCCCTTTTGATACCTTATGCCCGCATTTGATAATTTTGCGTCGTCCACTTCGCGAAAGGGATTTTACTTCACTAGTCTTCAGAAAGTCTTGCCGAAAAAGAGTGAGTCCATACGCTGGCGTGCTGTGCGCACACGGATATAATCAAACTGCATGCTCTATGTTAAAGGGGAAGTTTTTTGTTTTTTTTTTCAATTCTTTAAAGAGAACACAAGCCTACAAATCATGTTGAAAGACAAAAGTACATTGGACTGGGTAGGCGCTATCCACAATGCCAGTTAATAGCTGTGCTGATGAAATACATGGACTCTGCCGACCATGGGTAGGGATATCAGCGAACACACTGCGCAGAGCGTTTGCGCAGTTATGATGTAATCGAATTTTGTACATGTCAACATGCCACGCGCGCGGCCAGAAAAGTCCAAGTCAGAAAATGAATATTTTTGCCGGGAAACTAGAAGGAGTCTTGATGGAGAAGAAGGAGAATGGCGGCTGAAGTCGGTACCTTGCGCTCAGGATCTGCCGTTTCGTTGATTGCTTCGTATATTCGCTGCTGGTGAAGGATTCGTGGGTAGAGAGTGACATGCCTACGGTGACAGCCACGCGATCAACTACAGATGAGCCGAGCCCCAGGACTTTCTTCAGACGAATTTTCAAATTTGTCCTTCGATGCCCAAGGAGCGTGGTTGAATCGAAGGCGATTTTTTACAACGTTCCCACCGCAGAAATCTTCTAAATTTTGGTGAACTGGTACCTCACCCATGGATCTATCCATGTGCCAAGCAAGAAAAAAATTGACCGAAGCAATGCAAGGTCCCAGAGGTGAAAGGTGCACAAGGTCGATCATTCAAGAAGAACTCAGGAAGATGAAGAAGCTTGGACGATCGACGAACATGGGCCTGTCGTCCTTCACCGATTTTTAATACTGTGTGTTTTGTATAAGTTCGTTAGTGTAATTGCTGGCAGAGGATGCCCAAAGTGAGGTGAATGCACAGTAGTCGGACATAATCAGAATCGAAACAATGGGGGTCTGTTCACAGCAGTATGTGCTTTCAAATTATTCAAATAATTATGTAGGTCCGAGCAACGTTCGACCAGTCGCCATTTTATTTGCGTCAATTTTTTGTCCCCGCCAGTACGTACATTGGTATGGTAGCGCTGAAAACTGCACAAACCCCGTGCGTAGTGTGTTCGCTGATATCCCTGCCATGGGTCTCGGCGTCACAGTACCATGTATGCATCAAATTAATCATAAGTTTATAATGAGCCAACATAAGAAAGTGACTTAAAAAATGAAATAAAAAAATAAGACAAAACAAACAAGAAGGGAATAATAATAGTGGAAAAAGGGGGAGATTGAGAGATGTGTGGGTAGCTCTCGAGTGATACGGCAGGGTGAATCTAGACCAGAGTGGCTGACAACTTCGTCGCAGGTGTGTGCAGCAGTGGCTTTCAGAGGTGGTCTGTAGCCCACAGCCAGTCAGTGTGTAGCAAGTGCTTCCATGCAGCTGCCTTGAAGCGGTGCAGCCGTTGCAGGGGCATTGGTGGCTGGAACAGGGAGGGTGGCAGTTGATTCCATAAACTGATGTGGGCAAATGGGAAGGACCGCCTGATGTACTCCGGTGCAGCTGGTGGTAGGGTGTTGAGGAGCTGGTGAGGATGGGTCACCGCGTGCGTGTGTCGGGTTCGTGGACGAACCACAGTGGGTGCAGCTGGTGGGAGAATGTTGGTCAGCTGTTGTGGGCTTCCGATGCACTGAAGCTTGTACATGTAGCACAGCCCAGAGAAAGTGCGTCGTGCAGCCAGACTCTGGAGGAGCACATCTGGTCCTATGATGGCCATTGCCTTCTGCTGAATGCGGTCGAGCCTGGCCAGATGGGTCGGGGCAGCAGACATCCAGACCAGTGGAGCATACTCCAGCAAAGGGCGAATGAATCCTTGGTAGACACTCAGACGGCCATTGGTGTCAAGTATCCGCGCGGCTCGGCGCAAAAGCCCAAGACGTTGACTTGCTCTCACCGCCATGCTGCTGATGTGCTGGCGAAACGAGAACTTTGAGTCGAACAATATACCCAACAGCTTCAGTGTTGATGCCTGGGCAATGTCGACACCACCAAATGAGATGCCTGGAGTGGCTGGGTCCAAGGATCGTGTGCACAGTAGCTGCTGTGACTTGGATGGCTCAAATGTCACCCGCCACCGCTCACCCCACTCTTGAAGGCCATGTAGGGCATCTCGTAAGGAGGCATTGTGGGGAGCAGCAGTTCCTGGTTGCAACAGGCTGTATAGCGTGGTGTCATCAGCAAAGGAGCTAAGGTGCGTTCCGGGGGTAAGACATTGGTCGATGTCGCTGATGTAGATAAAAAATAGAGTCGGCCCGAGGATACTTCCCTGAGGTACTCCCGCGGTGATAGGCTGAGCAGATGAAGCTTGGCCGCTGACCACAACTTTCAGTTGGCGGCTAATTAGGTAGTCCTGAAGCCAAGTCAGTAGTGTACCCCTGATGCCAGCCCGTTCTGCCTTGTACAGGAGACCGGTGTGCGACACACGATAGAACGCGCCAGCTATATCCACGGCTGTCACTTGAGCAGATCCACCGTTTGCAACAGTCTGGACCCATTCGTTCTGCAGGGCTGTCAGGACATCAGCAGTTCCCCTGCCTCTGCGGAATCCATACTGGCTGTCAGGAAGCAGTCGGTTCCGCTCAAGATGGTTGATCACCTGCGAGTTGACGATGCCTTCCATTACCT